CTTCGTGATACCATCGAATCCCTATGAAACGCCCTTCCCCTTTCCCAAAAGCATCGTTAGTATGCATGATTCAAATTAGCTTGACCGAGATCGCGTAATGATCAAAACGACGTCTGATTCAGATTATTTATCACACATCCAGGTGACTTGTGCCGTCATGCATAACATTCGGGCAAATGTGCGAGCACCGGAGAATTCAGACAAGTATGTGCGTACACATTTTTCTTTTTTTGCCACTTCATTATGCAAGCATACATGTTGGTCTTTGAGAACTACCCAAAATAGGGAGTGAGTAACATTATACATGTTGGCAAATATGTATTGTAAAAAGAGGACCTCTATGTATCGATTTACATAATCAATCAGAATAATTTTTGTCAAGCTCCCGAGGAATTCTTATTGTCATAATGAGATGTTGACCAAAAAAAGGTGGATCTCACTCACTTCGAGATCATCGATGCCATCGACACTATCGGGAAGATGGTCTCTGACCTCTTCTTGACCTTGGCTTTTTTTGCTCGCTCACATTCCGAGTTGTGGACTCGGGCGGGGGTGCCCCACCCTCAACCCTTTTTTTTTTCTCAAGATGTTTATTTGAGGAAGGTGGACTTCCACTTGCCTACGGTGTCTACCACCGCTCACCCTTTCTGAAACATCATGATTTCGCCAAGATCCAAATCAGGTTAACCCAGAGAGGTCATATTAAAAACTGTTTCATAAATTTATCTCGTAAATGCCACAATTCTTAATTGGCACAAAACACCGCAGTTAGTAAGTAATCATCATGAACCCAAACAATCATTTTCAGGGGGAGGGGTGCGAAAATTTTCCTGTCGACTGACACATGTAAAAATCCGAATTGTGCAGATATAGATTTGAGTTTGTACCTCTGGCCCTCCTCAAAGTTCGAGGTTGCGTAAGAGAATTTAAACAAACAACAAACAATAGCCGGTTTTTTTCTTTCTTTTCTTTTCTCTTCTTTCCTTCTTTTTTTTTTTTTTTTTTTGCCGTGCACAATAAATGCGTTGCACATCAATCCTTTCTGCATGTGCTAAAGTCCCCTCTCTTACATACATACATACATACATTACATCAAATATTTGAATGCAGCGGAGAGAAGGATTGTGTGTGAGAATGTTATTGACAAAATAATATGCTTCTAAATCAGTGGTTGTGATCATTCCGTGAACCTTTTCTTATCCCGAAATCTTTCCGCTCAATGCGAAAATGAATCTGTCTCTTTTTTTTTGGCGGAAATTAAACCGTGTGACATCACGTGAGTAGAGTAGATTATCAAAATCTCCGCATAACTCGAAATATTGAGTCGGTCACGTGTCGCACTTTTTTTTGTTCATCGTGAAAGGTCGAGACCGTTTGCTCGAGGTTCGGCGGATGGACGTCCCTTTCCGATGAAGACGAAACGTTGTCCAGATGCTTAGATGGGATGCGTAAACTCTTGTCAATGGCCAACACAAGATACAAACAACACAGGGATTTGTATAATCCAATTTAAAAATTCGTGCACCGCGTGTCTCCCAATTTACGCGCTCAAAAGATTCGTGCGTCACTGGTTTTTTTTTTTTTTTTTTTTTTTTTTTTAATCAAGGTCGACAAAGATTTTTCTTGAAAAAGAAGGAAATATCACTCCCGTATTTTTGTTTTTCGTTTATTTTATATTTGAAAACTTACAACAGAAAGTTATGCAACTTGGAGTTTTTTTTAATATTCATAAAAAAAAACCTTAGATAAAGCTATACACATAAGGAATGGAACCATACCAATTCACGGGAAAAGATATTTGCATGAGAAAGAAAAAACCAACTAACCGAAACTTTTTACATGAATTAAATATGAAAGAAGAATAAAGTGTCCCGATCTCTATACAATGGGTGTGAAATCTATTTACAATTTGCTTGTTTTTGTTTTTGTTTTTTTTTTTTTTGATTTTTTGGTTTGGTTGTTTTTTTTTTTTTTTTGATGGCACATCATGCCCGCACCAACAACCGCAAACTTTTGTGAGATGCACCTGGGGCAAGTGATGTGATTCGAGATTTTGTGGTCAATCAGTTGTTATGATTTTCGTGGATGAGACAAAAAGACTTCTATGCTACCATGCAGACTGAAATGTGACGGGGACACCTAAAGAAATTTTGATTCTAAATAGACATATCGGATAAAGAAGAGGAAAGAAAAGAAAGGAAAAAAAAAAAAAAAAGAAGAAGAAGAAGAAGAATGAAAAGAAGATAGAGAGAGAAAATTATCAGATCCAGCGGACTTGACGGAAAAACTCCCAGAGTTTACTGGCTTTGTTGACATCAATGCGCAGCAACTTTTGCGCGTCGCTTTTTTTGAATGGAAGAGCCCGGTGAACGTATCTTTGGGCCGCCGAGACGAGGGTGTACTTTCCGGTCAAATATTGTACCGGGGTGAGACGTAAGACTGACACGACGTGAGCCTCCGTAGGATGCAGTGCATCGTAATGTGGCAGATGTGCAATGGACAACGGTTGACCTTTCCAAGTGATCTCCGGCGCCATCTCGTCTAGGACCTCGGTGTTCAGGCTAAGCGCCCTGATGTTGGAAATCAATTCATCAAATTGCATGGGAGGCGGTGGTGGTATGCGAACCGATTTGATATCATTCGAGGTGATGTTGGAGTTAAAGATGGACTCCAGAAGTCCACGATCTGTCATCACTCTTGCCAGGCTGTTCCCCTTTCGTTTTCGTTGAGCGGCGGACGTGCCCGTTCGCTTGGTGGTCACCGCCTGCTTAGAACGTTGTTGCTTCCTGTGCAACAATCGACGCGATGTCGCCTCGTCGTCTGTGGACGAACGGCATTCGGAGGTGAACGGCGATTCGGATGGGGACGGTGTGTTGCTGGCATTGACGGGCGAGGATAATTTGATTTCATCATTGTTACCGCGTAAGGAGGCGGTCGTCGGATCTTTCAAGACAGTGTCGACCTTGAATATTCCCGGCAAGCTTATCGAAGGGGCACGAACGGGATAGGGATGCTTACGAACACCCTTGCCAAAACCCATCTCGATTTCCTTGTGATTGGAAATCGGTGATCTCATCACGTGTCCTTGACCATATGACCTGCTTGACAAATGGTTCAAGGAAAATCTGCTCAAGTCAAAGGAAAGATTTTCGGTGGGCGACGGAATAGAATCTTTGAACTTCGATTTCTCTATGTACTCCAGGAGATCAGGTGTGTCGGTCATGTGCATCCGATATCTATTCGGTTGCTTTAAATCGAAGGAAGTTAACGGCGAGGCCGGCTCGAATTTAGGGGGAACAGAAAGAACGTCGTTAAGCCGAAAAGACCATTTCATTGCAGTTTCGTGAGGTGAAGGAGGTGGGGAGGGTAAGGAAGGCGAATAATTTTTTTCCCCAAAGTAAATCGGAATCTGTTTGTTCGAAAGGAACATGTTTGAAGAGATCATTTTTATGTCAAGACGACCTTCGAGGTATCGAAAGAACCTTTTTTTTTTTTTTTTCTCTTTGATGGGAAACAAAGAACAAAACAAGAAAATAAACAAGGAAACAAGAAGGTTTAAGTGTCCACTTGAAAGTTCAAAATACTTTTGTCATAAATAAGAAAGCAGCGCTTTGATTTTGTCTGAGAAAGCTGTTGGGAAACAAACTATCGATAACACTGGAAAGGGAATTTCTTAAAGATGAAATTTTACACTGGAGAGTTGGGCGCCATCCTTTATATATATGAACAGAGGTGATCCACAATATATTAAACAGTAGCAAGGATACACAAAATAATCGATAGATAGCATTCAAATTTTTTTTAAAAGAAAAAAATTTTTTTTTTTTTTTACTGGCCAATTAAAATGAATTTATACAACTTCATTTCAATTTCAATAATATTAACTTTCAAAGTTTACCCAACAGTAAATAACAATAAGATGTTCGTTGTGCGCACATATATTTTCACTGAAAATTCTGATATCCGAAAAACCTTGGGTACTGTAAAATCGAATTCTGTAGAAGAGTATCAAATAATTTCCCGATATGTTAGTTTTGTTCTTTTTCGTGCCTGCTTGAAACTTGGATAAATTCGGTAGTATGGGCAAGGATGTGCCAAGAAATAGAAAGAGAATGGATCAAAATCACAGATTGGACAAGATTGTCCGTACCATTTTTTTTTTTTTTTCTCTATCCCTATAGCGTAAGGATCCAACCATCGGCTAAAACATTGGCCCTCCGCGGCACTATTCAAAGTAGCACCCGGCAACACCTAATAACTATGTGACAAGATGCATGCGTTTAATGAGAGGATACCGGAAAGACTGTTTCATCCATATATTCGGTTTGTACTGTTCACAGCATTCATTTAAGGAGGATCACCCCGAGCAACAAGAGAATACGTTACGTTTTGAAATTAATTTAATAAAATTACTGTGTCTCTAATTTCATGTCTAATAATATTTAATATTACTGGAATTTTTTGGTTGGTTCTCAATGAAATCTCTCTTTTTTTTTTTTTTTTTTTTTTTTTTTGAAATGAAACATTTTTAGTTTTCCTAGCTCATTGCATTTCAATAAATTAAGTCCAATTTAAAAAAGGACGTTTTTAGATCATTACATTAGGTGAATATGCAACATTTATTTTTTCACGATCGTTAACCTTTTTTTTTCCCAGGGCTCCAAAAAAAAAACATGGGTGCCTCGCCACGTAGACAGATGTAGAAGCTGAATTTCCTGACTAGTCAAAAAAAAGAAATTTGGCGTCGGCATTCATGAAAAGAGCCCCGCAAGGGCCAAAATAAATTAACGTGATGAACTTGAGATCTATGTTCGTCCAATCACGGTCAAGGGCTTGATCCTCAAGATTTGTTGAAGTTGAGACAGTCGGATTTCGGAATTTTTGTTGGAGCGGCAATCCTTCAATGGCACAACCTTTTCACGAGAAGATTGAAAAGTTGACATGAATCAGTTGAAACAATTGCAATCAAGAAAATCGATGTGCCGGTATCAGACAGATCTGTCAAGCGGGACAATGCAGAATTCTCTAATCCCGTCGAGTCAATTGTTCCTCAGGTCACAATCAGAGAGGTCGAAGGCCATACACGCTTTCTGATATTCCTTTTATGTACGACCTAGGACGGGTGAGATATGTCACCCCACGAACGCCACCCGAAATTTTCTCGATAGCAAAGGTGACGCAAGTCACGTATTTTCTTAATTAAGTCTTTGGTGTATATCCCCGTTCAAAAACAGAATTCTTACACAGACAGTGGTAATACGATCGATCCAGTACTAATTAATGTTCATTAACATTACCTTCCATTGCAAAGATAATTGATCGATCACGGGATCACACTGAACCTTAAAGAATCGGGCTTCAAACTGGCATTTTTTTTTCTCTTTTCGGAATTATTATCAATGATTAAGAGTTCACATGTTCCACTGATCTCTGGTTCCGGAGTCCGCAGACATTCCCTTTGGAAATTTTTCCGTGTTGAACTGGAGGCAGGGTAAAGAGGAAAGGCTTGACGGAAGACTACTGAATCTCAAAATTGCGATGACTCTTCAGAGTGACGATGGGACCTCAAAGAGATCCCCTAGTGAATTGATTTCCGGTTACATGATCTGGTTCAAAGATTCCCAAGAATACATTGATAAGCGGTGGTAATTTAACTATAAGTTTTCCTAAAAAAGAAAGTGTTTCCTGCAATTTTTGATACAAGTGGCATTGGTTTAAATAACATCACGAGCAAAACTTGGTTGCTGTTTGTTCGTGTTCCAATTATACGCCACTTGACCATACTAAAGCACCATATTTGCAATTTGCTCAATGATTTTAAAAAACCTGCATCTCGATTTTGTGACATCCTTTTCTATTTCTGTTATCTCTTTTTGTTTTCATAATGATTCATATAATTCAGAAAGAAATCATTTAGGTTTTCTGTCTATAACAACGTGGTGCTTGGCTCGAGCTCTGCGTGATTAAAGTCAACATGGAAGGTACAGGTTGCAGTCGTTATAGTAATCTTCGTCGGTGATTCCCCAAGGAGGGATTCTTCAATTGTATGCGCCGTTAATAAATTCATTACATTCTCTAATCATGTCGTGCCATGCACAATGACAATAACTCTTATTCCGTGAACCTCGTTGTGTCATGCAAAATCAATGTTTTACATGTATGGGTTATCTCACGTTGCCTTCCTTTTAGGTTATTCGCGAACAATGGGAAGGCAAGGGTTTTTGAATTATTCTGTTAAAAGCCAAATCCTGCAATAATGGCCACTAATTATTTTAATTATCGACTTGTTAAAAAAAAAAATTTTTTTTTTTTAAATTTATCGTAAACATCAAAGCCAATTTAAAAACCTGCGTCCATGTATTTATAAAAAAATTTTATTCTTTCTTTGAAATAAAAATTTTTTTCTTAAAAATTAATTTTATAATCCACAAACAAAATCACAGTATTTCATAAAGTTTTTTTTTTTAAAAAAAAATTAATTATAGGCTTCTTACAAGTTGGTTTTTTTTTTTTTAGAATCATTATAAGAGTTTGATACTATTATCTTTAGATTGACAAAAGGGGATTATAATCAATAGAAAAAATCAGATAAAAAATTAAATGAAAACAATTTTGGAAAAATCTAAACAGATAAGGAAAAGGAGAGTACGGGACGTGCGAAACAATAAATGGAATATTTAAATCTTCGGTAATACTTGTGAATAAACGGATTTACTTATAAATAACAGATTTATCAAAATAATATATTTCATTAATGATTAATAATAAATAAATTTTCAAAATTTAGGATTTATTTAAAATCAAAATCAAAATTATTATGAATTAACAAATTATTGATTTCATTTTTAATATACTGTATATTAATAATAGAGTATACAAATATTTTGATCAAGAAAGATATTGAAATCATAAAAAGAATAATAGTCAATAAAAGAATGAATTTAAGAAAGAGTACCTAAAATATATAGAAAAAAAATATTTGTTGATGAAAAGTATAAATAATAAAAGTTAAAAAGTAAAAGTTAAAAGATAAAATGGTTTTTTTAATAGTTAAAAATATTTACTTAAAGTAATTGAGTATTTGTATAACTAATTATGAACAAAGTAAATAATATAAATTAAATATAATTATTAAAATAAAAAATAATTTTAATATTTTAGTTATACTATAAATTGAATATAAGAAATATATTATATATGGTTGCTTTCAAAAGTTTGAGTCCACTTACTATGTTTTTATTATAAATTTCAACTTTGACAATTTTTAAA